CAGGTCGTTACCTGTCTGGTTATTTCCTTGACTCAAATTCCAAGAAAGTGAATAGCCGCGTGGGAGAGCAGGAACATCCCAAAGCTCCTGTTACGTGTTGCTAAATTACTGCCCGGAGAGCTCATGTTAATTCTTTCCGGCTGGCAGGGGTAGCGGGTGCTCATTCCATTGCATGCATGCCAGCATCGAGAATGCCTTTTAAAACTCTTTGCTGATTAGAAAGTGATAACATGTAATGTTTGCTTTAATTTGCCTCTGTTACTCTTTTTTTTTTTTTAAGAAGACATTTGTCGACTCCGTTTTATTGACTCCATTTTTAAACGATGACCGTGAAACACGATCCCATACCTGTGTGTGTCTGTGTGCACATATTCGTGTGGTCTGGAGCGCTAAGAGGAAGGGCCGCCAAGGATGCCGATATGTAGAACTAGGTTTGATTTTCAGTAACAGGAGCTGGACGGAGGGGGCGGGACGAACTTAAACAAGCCAGAAGGAAGTATGTAAAAGAAGTCCAGATGTAGCGAGTCCAGCACGGAAGCGCTACGAAGCCACCAGCAACAGGGCACCTTCTGAGTCATCATTCCACTGTCCCACGTGATCCAGAATGACTGCGAGAGCCCCGGCCGTCACACTGATACGCGAGGCAGCAGGAAGGAGGCAAGAAAGAGAGAGAGAGAAAGGCTCTGAGAAATCTTCCAAGACAATTCCACTCACATCTCGGATTTTAGAAATACGATCGCATGCGGCTGCCTTCAAGGGAAGCTGGGAAATGTAGTCTTTTAGCGGGCAAGCAATGTACGATCTAAAATTTGGAGCCTGTTAAACCAAGATGCAGAGGCAGAACGAAGATAGAGAAGTCTGTAAGAGTTTCTACGACAGTTGCCTTGAGGAATGAGGAAGTGAGATTTTTCCTAGAAAGGAGAGGTGGAGAAGTGAGCAGGTAGAAATGGTACAAATATTTCCGTTATCATTCCTTTAGTTGTCGTGAATATATTTTAAAGAAGTAATTTTGGAAAGTTTAAAAAATGATTAATAAGCATGATACGGAAAATTTCCCCATCGATTTTTATGTCAAATTCATAGAACGGCCTAATAAACCAACACCGTCATCAGATTGTTTTGGCACTCCGAATATATCAGCTCACCGCCTTCCGGCCGCCAAGGCTCCTGATGAGAAATCTGCTGACGGTCGTATTAAAGGCCACTTACATGTGACGAGTTGCTTCTCTTGATATTTTCGAGATTCTCTCTTTGTCTTTCAACAGTTCGATTATACTATGTCTTAGTGTGGAGCTCCTTGTAATTGATATGACTTGAAGTTCATCATCTTTTTGTAGATATTTATATTCGTGTCTTTCATCAGTTTGGGGAAGTTTTTGGCCACGCTTTCTTTAAATCATCTCTCTGCCTCTCTCTCTCTTTTCCCTCGGGGACTCCCATAATGCGTATGTGAGTCTGCTTGGTGGTGTCCGCCTTAGATCGTCTTCACTCTTCTTTCATCTTCTTTCTGTCCCTGGACTCGGTCATTTCAATCGCGCTATCTTTACGTCTCTGATTCTTTCTTCCGTTTGCTCAGCTCTGCTTTGGAATCTAATGAATGTTCCCGTTTCAATTATGGGTTTTCGTTTTTGTTTTTCTAAGCTCCAGAATTTCTTTGGGAGCCCTTTGTTTTCTTTTTTTTTTTTTTTAATATTTCCATTTTGTCATTTGTTTTCTTGACTTTCTCTGTTTTCCTTCAGTTCTATGAACATCTTCGAGACAGTCGTATGAAAGTCTTTGTCTAGTAGGTCTGCCATCTACTCTTTCTTGGGGACAATTTCCAATGGTTTGTTTTTTCCCTTCAAATGAATCATACTTTCTTTGTACGACTTTTGACTTCGTTGTTGTTGAAAACTGGACATTTGAATACAATAATGTAGTCACTGTGAAAACCAGATTCTTCCCTCTTCCCAAGGGTTTTCTGTTTTGTGTTTTTGTTTCTGGTTTTGATTATTGCAGGCTGTGTCTGCACCAGGCATCAGCCTGAGGTTTCAACTCGAGTTCTTCTTAGGTCTCTTCTGAGCCTGCGTGTGTCCCTGGGCAGGCATGGTGACTCTCTAAATCCTTCCATATATGTGGTAACTTCTCAATGTCCTAGTCTTTGACTATCTGGCTCCCAAAGAAAGAAAAGAAGGAAATCAGGTGGAGCTGGGGGGCGGACAGGGTTTGGCCTTGTAAATCCCTTAAAAGCTGCCTCAGCCAGTGGTAGTTGTGACGACGACCACCAGGCAGGACATCTGCGCCCTTCGCAGTCAACAGCGGCAATCAAGCATCAGAGCACACATTGCCAGCACTTGGAGGACGAGGTCTTCGTGCCCCCTCTGGCTCCCGCAAGCTGCACACACAATGCTCCGGGTGTCTGTGCACAGCTACCTGCCATGGGGCTGGGGTGGGGGACAGGCGGCCGCTATCATGGTAAAAAAAGAGCTAAAACTGTGGAAATTAATGTGATTTACCATCCAAACATCCCCCCGAGAGCTACAAGCCTCTGAATCGACTCCAGGGTTCCAGACCGGAGCAGACGGCCTCGCCCCTGCAAGGTGAGAAGGTGAACTCCCCCCGCGTTCTACGCACCATCTTCCCTGACGTCACTGCCCCCTTCGTTCCTATGCTCTATGAATTTAATTTTACTGCGTATAAATTTACTACAAATAAAGAAATATTTAAAGGACATTTGCATTCACTTTATACTTATGGTTTTTTAAAATGTATATAATGGCTAGTTATTTGGATTTTTCTCCTCTTTTGTCTATTTGTAGCCTTTATCTATTTTTTTTTCCTGTTAGGAAACATGAATTTTTTTTTAAAAAAATCATTGTAAGTAAGCAATCAAGCAAAGGATACCGATAAATATAATAAAAACTGTTCACTTTTTATAGTTTTCGCAGCTAGGTGAATGAAGGCAGCAGAGTGGTACCACTTACACCTTTTAAAGTAGACAGAAAATAGCAAGAAATGGCACAACAAAATCTGGCAAAGCTGCGTCGAGACTGGGCTCTTCTCGTTTGCCAGTGGCAAGGTGGAAGGGACCCTTTTAGAAAGGAACTAAGCTATACAAATGTTTAGGTCCTTTGTTCAGACGTTCTTCTCGAATTTTAACTTCAGAAAATGAAAAAAGAAACACCTGCAGGAACAATTATAGTCATAGTCGCACTGTTTATAATTATGAAAAATTGAAACAGCCCGAATGTGTAAATAGCAGGAGTCTGGCTGAGCTAAACAGTGCCGCTCCTCCAGTGAAATTCTGCCGCCATTTACAGTGGATATCGTGTATCATTCTGTAGAAATCCTTATGATACAATGTCAGTTGAAAGCCTGCTACGATTCAGCGACATGCAAGTCGCTTTGGCATGTGGCCAAGGACTGCCAGGAGGGAAAACCAAACCGTGGAGAGGGCGGGGGGCTGTGGCGAGTTCCCCTCTGCTCTGATTCCCACTGTTTTCACGATATTACTCAGGCAATTGAAGCAAAGAAAAAAGATGGGGATGGGTGGTTTAGGGGAAGGAAACGGGCAAGAGTTATAAATTCACCAAAAAACAAAAAAACCCGATTAGGAAACTCAATTAGCGAGTTCTCCGAGGCGCTGGGGGCAGGCACTGGGGTGCTGAACTTGGCGAGGGGGGAGGAGGCCTGGGCCCTGGCTGGGCAAAGTTCTCCGCAGGTCGAGATGAGGCCTCGAGGCCCCGCAGGGCTCGGGGACAGGCGGCCTGGTTCGCCTGTCGTCCTCCACTCCTGTCACTGGGTCCTGGGGACAGACTTCCAACTGAGCGCATGTCATGCTATGCAAATGCCACGTGAACACTCCGGATCAGAGCGTGCCCCTGGCCCTCCCTGGGGACCGAGTGACATGGAGGGCACGCAGATGCCTCATTTCTGTCACCCACTTATGCCGTGGAGGCTGTGCCTTCTATCACGGCCTCACATTCTTTTTGAATACCCGTATTTCCGCAGAAATGGGGAAAAAGGAAGCTGGTAGGTGATGCCCACCGCCGAGGGCCTGCAGTGGGACACACACAGCGGTGCTCCCTGCGAATCCCACCGAGGACTCCGAGAAACACACACTCCCATCTCAGGTGCAGAAGACGACACGGAGGGTCAGGAAGTGGCAGCTTTGGTTTCTAACTAGCTGCGTGACCTTGGATAGTTTACTCAGCCTCTCTGGAGGTCAACCGCCTCCCTCGTAAAATGGGAATAACGTATCAGTAGGGGGCGCTGTGGAGTTTGGCCCTGAGGCAGGGCTGGGAACAGGGTCTGGGCTGCCCCTGTGTCCCCCATTTTTGATGCCCAGGCAAGCGGAAGGAAGTAGCAATAACTGACCACCTACTATGTGCAGGCGCCATACTAGGCGGTTGGAATGCAGAGGTAAATAAAACAGAAACCGCCCCACCTCTTGAAACTCTAGCTGAGGGCAGAAGCCCGACACGGGGCGTCTCTAGCCCCCTGGGTGTTGGGGAGGAGAAAGCTGAGGTGCGAGCAGAAAACAGAGACCTAGACCACCCTGGAGGGTCACCAGTAAGTAACCTTCCTCCTGAAATGTCACATATGCAGGAATTCTGGGTAGAGAGAGGCCAGGCAGAGGGAAGGGCGTGGCGGAGGCCCCAACACGGGACCAGCCGGTCGCACGCGCGGCTGGAGCTCGGGTTGCGGGAGGCGGTTAGAGCAAGTGCGCCCGCGCTCGGTCGCTTCCGCCCTGACCTGGGGACCGCCGAGCACCTGTGCACAAGTTCCGCTGGCCCACGAGTCAGTCCTGACCCAGGACGCGGCCGCCCAGGCAGGCAGGCGGGATGAGGAGACCACTCACCTTGGGCAATGCGTATTTCGGCAGCTTCATCTGGACGAAGTCGTTGCGACGAAAGGAGACGTAGTACTTGGTCCGGTTGGCTGAGGTGGCCTGACAGGCGGGAAGAAACGTGCTTCTGAGGGGCTCGGTTTCCTGCCGAGCCCGCGCCTCGCGGATCAGAAACTGCACGTCGCACTCCGCTGGCGAAAATGCCCCTTTTCTCTGCCTGAAGTGGACGGCCTTCCATCCACCCCTCAAAGCCCTGCACCAGACGCCCCTCCTCGACCTCCTCCAGCTAGAACTAGCCTCTTACCCCCACTGTCTCAGCTCCGTGTGTCCCTGCATCTGAGTTACGGAAAGAGGTGGAATGAGCTGTCTAAGATTTGAGCTACCCAGCAGAGGGACAGGCTGTTTTGGAAGGAGTGAGCCCCTCGTTGGTGGAACTAATCAAGAAGCGGTATGACCAGTCAGTCGCTGGGGTTTTTGAGCGGTCAGACCACGTGCTTCCTGCGCACGGCCCCAGCAATGACCCGGTTCAGCCCCCGTCAGCTCCAGAGTCACTGGGACCAAATGGAGCAACGTGGGTGTGGGTCTGGGGGCCCCGAGCTGCGAGGGGTTCTTGGAGGCGGAAGGCAGGGAGAGCAGGCAGCAGCCCGAGTCAAGGTCCCGGCTTCGTGGGCCTTTGGGGTGTCCGCAGCCACGGCCACAGGGGCCAGGGGAACTGTGAATTAAGTTGAACTTGAAAGTCTAATGGCCATTTTATGGCCTTCTGCCTGAGCGACTCCACGTCACCTACTGCCAGGTCCCAGGAGCCCACGGGCGACGGTACCTTAAAGAAGATGTAATCGTCCTGCATCGTGAGGGAGCCGTGGTCGATGGGGCCCGCAAACGGGGCCGTCAGCGTCTTGGCGGAGCAGTTGTGGATCTGGCAGGTGACGTACCGGGAACCTGCAAGAGAGCAGCGCTGGCC